GCTTGGAAAATGTTTGGTTTAGTAGACAAGAAGAAACAGTGAGCAGGCCGTATCTTGTGTTTTATTGCACTGTTCGGCCAGTATAAAACACTCCAGAATATTTGAGTCTAGAAGTATTGGTAACACATTAGGACTGTTTTGGTCACTTGAAGTCTAACTTTTTCTAAGCTGTTTTTTTGCTTTCTGTTTAGAAACTTGCACCTTTACTTCCGCCTTTACAGGTTCTATAGTTTATTTCTGTCAAAGAGTGGGCTGCACTCAAAATAACCAAAGCATTAACTGTGCCTACACACTTTACACAGGGAAAAGTCTGTGGTCTTTGTGGTGACTTTGATGGCCGCACAAGGAATGACTTCACAACCAGAGGGCAGTCCATGGAGATGAGCATCCAGGAGTTTGGAAACAGCTGGAAAATAACAAGCACCTGCTCAAATATAAACCTGACAGACCTGTGTGTGGATCAGCCGTTCAAGTCTGCCCTGGGACAGAAGCACTGCAGCATCATTAAGAGCAGCATCTTTGAAGACTGTCACAGCAAGGTAATCCTATTCTCTGATCCTCAATAGTTTCACAGTAGATAATTGTTGCTGTTTTGCAGTATATTTGCAGCATATTTTTAGTATTGATGCTACTACACATTAGTACTTGGCTATCTCTCTCAAAACCTCATTTCACAGCTATGCACAGTATGGAGGAAGAAGCAGTGCCTATTTTGAACAACTGAAGATAAAGAGGATAATAGCTGGCCACCAGAAGTAGAAAGTTAGGTATCTGTAAAATGTAGACATAAGTTAGCCTAGAACTGTTTGTATGGTGATCCTTGGGAAGTTCATTCAAGTTATCTAAAGAGACTAATTATTTGGTTTGTGTCACAAATTGAATTAATTTAAACAGAAACAAGTCTACTCTTCTTAATTAGAATGTCTATACAAAGCTTCAGTCCACTTTAATAAATAATTTTAAAAACAAACTTGGCCTAATTTCCTTTGTTAGTTTATGTTGGCAATGGTTAAAAAACAAGAGACAGGAAGTTTAGTAGAAATAGGATTTCCTTTCACACTCAATCACAGTCTCTCAGTTGAAGAGTGTACACACTGTGTAGTTGTGCTAAGACAAAACATTTCATTCCTGCAGAAATCACACTGGGAAGGCATTTTAAGTGTAAGTGGCAGCATTACACATATAAGAATAGGAAAATTTAGAGTCCAATTCTACCAGGCAGGTGAAAATAGAAAACTACCTGTTGTAAAATATCATAGCTCCTTCATGACAATCACAGTCTGTCACAAACCATGTACATGACAGAAATTCAGAGCCTTTTCTTTCATTAAAACACAGTGCAGCAGACACAGCTGTGGTGACAGCTCTGTTGATGCTTTGACAGGTGAACCCAATTCCATATTATGAATCTTGTGTGTCTGACTTCTGTGGCTGTGACAGTGTGGGAGACTGTGAGTGCTTTTGCACCTCAGTTGCTGCTTACTCGAGGAGCTGCAGCAGAGCTGGTGTCTGCATCAACTGGAGAACCCCTGCCATTTGCCGTAAGTACCGCAGGGAAATGCACACAGAAAGCAGTGCCCCTTGTGCTCAAGCACCTGGGATACAGAAGAGCAGAACACCTCCATTGCTATGCATGTGTGACTGAACAAGCTCTTTTTATCATGTTTATCGTATTAAAATCTTAAAAAAGATTTTTAAAAATTGTCCCTGCCCAGTGTCTGGGACCTAAATGTTTTCTATTCTTCTGTTCTAGCTGTGTTCTGTGATTATTACAATCCACCTGACAAACATGAGTGGTTCTATAAACCTTGTGGAGCCCCTTGTCTAAGGACCTGCAGGAACCCACAAGGGAAATGTGGGAACTTGCTGTACAGTTTAGAAGGTAATTTTTCCTTGACTTTAATGCAGTTTATGGGAGTTGTAGCTACTAGTCTGGTTTTAAATGTCTGAAGCGTCAAGGTGACTGAAAGATTATCCCATCTGTCCCAGAAGCTCATTGACCATGCCTTGCTAATTCCCTGTGTGATGGTGCCATTAATAGCATCATTTGCCTGCTGCCTTTAAATATATGAAGTGATAAAACACCATTGAATATAAATTTTTATAGAATAATTGACTGTTGACAAATGTAGTAAATGAAAACTTTGGGAACAGAGGTAAAAAGAGGGCTTGAAAAAATAATTTGTAGTAAAAAGAACATTCATACTGGAATCACATTCATTTGGGGATCAAATATATATTTGATAGCGGTATTTATGTGCTTTCCTGTGTCTGTGTAACTCAGACTAAGAATGCTTTGTTTAATTTTCCAGGCTGTTACCCAGAGTGTAGTCCTGACAAACCATATTTTGATGAGGAGAGCAGAGAGTGTGTCTCCCTCCTCAACTGCACTTCATGGTAGGTCAGTTGATGGTGAGAAAGGTAGAATAGGACTGGAAAGGACAAACTAGGAGATGTTTTGTTAATGTTTATAGGCAGTGGCAATTACCATTAAATCCAGGAGTGGTTTTTTGTAAAAGTAGGCACAGTTGCAGACACTGTTATTCCATATACAAATTCATTTCAATTCTTTTTTACTCTTTCTCTTCAGTGATCCTGAAGAGAAACTATGTGCTGAAGACTCCAAAGGTAACTTTTCACCATCCCTCACCATGCATTGAGTGATGGCAGGAGGCAGGACTGCAACAACCCAACATCACATGTTACTGCAAATGTACTGGTAATAGGAGGCCTGACAGGTAGTTTAATATGTGGGTGCAAAGCAGCACAGATATACTTTGATAAGCAAAATGCAGCCTTTGACCTCAAGAACTGTGTAAAGGATAATCATGAGGAGGAAGGAGACAGGTGTGATATGTAGGATTCATCTTACGCAGGTTAATACCACTTTTCCACCTTCTTGGTAGTCAGTGAAGACAGACAGATTTTAGTCTGTAGCAGGCCATTCATGGTACCTCTTTTAATAAGTACTTTTAGAACAGGGCAAATCTTGTAGAAGTGCTGTTTCCTGACAATTCATTCAATAAAATAAACTAAGATACCTAGCTTATAGATACAGGTTTGGATGCCTAAAGGACGCATTTGGTTAAGGTACAGCATCAGTTCATTCCCATATCTGGGAGAAAGAACATCCCAAAACCTGGGGTGACATATTTGCAGTTTAGCTGATTTTGTTGCAGTAATGGATACATTTCCTTTGGTTCCTACATGTACAGTATCCAAAATCTGGAGAGCTTCTCATATATTTTAATGAAATTGTGTACCACTGCATGCTCCTCATTTGTGGATGGAAATGGCTGTGCAACACCTCCTGAGACAGTGTTTTGTCACTCAGAAAGGCAATAATCCCAGTCACATTCCCTACCCAGAGAGCCTTCTCCTGTACTCCATGCTGAGTTAGACCAGTACCAGTTCTCACACTTTTACCAACCAGTAATTTCTCCATACAAACTGACTCCAAAAAACACCAGCAACCAGAAAAATCCAATGCACTTTATATAAATAAGATAGACTCACAGTGCAGCTTCTCAAATAGAAACTAAGAAATTTTCTTAGTCAGATAATTCATGTTTGATGTTGTGATCTTCAGAAGGGTAAATGCAGAGTGTGGTTTGCTTTTCACTTGTATTTATATTGCAAGTGTTCTCTGTTGCCATGGTATTTTCTCTTTTGGTGCCTCAGTTTGCCTGTGCTGCTACAATGGGAAGACCTACACCTTAAATGAAACTGTGTACAGCCACGTGTATGGGACCAAGTGTAGTGAAGCTGTCTGTGGCCCTAATGGACAGATCATTAAAACCCTTACCCACTGCGGAACTCCATCTACACCAGCACAAGGTACTAGATTGATAAGACGCTTGGTGGTGATTTTGTGGAAGATTTATTCATCCTGGAAAAAGATTCCTACAGCATGTCTAGGATAACAGCAGAATTTAAGACTGTTGAAGTTTCAAAACTGAGGGATCAGAGCTTGTGGGTCTTGTGGTGAGGACCAAAGTGCAATCTTACAGAATTCTTGCTGACCTTACTGCCAGTGAGGTTAAGAGAGAATAGAAAGATTCAGCATTTTTTCATACAACCTTTACAATAAGCTTCAGCATATCACAGTTGACACTCTGGTGTTGTTAGTCTCAATATTTCATACTTCTAAATATTTCATTTTTCCTTCTTATCACCCATAACACAACAGAAGAAAAATTCTGTTTTTTATTGTACTGTTTTCTGCATTGGAAAAAGTGAGTCTTATACGGGTCACTGGAATATGAAAATAAAGCTTCCTGGCAGTTAACTCCTGTTCAAAAGACATTTCTGAAATATCAGAAAATTTCTTTATCTCTTTTTCCTAAAAGATATAAAGAAAAGTGGGGAAATTGCCACATGATTTTTGCAAATAAGTGGTTTATATATATATAAATATTTTTATTTTTTTTTATCCTGGTAGCAAATTATACAAGGGCAGCAAGGAAAATGAAATGTTAGCTTCTCTATTCATGTGAGTGTAAGAGCTAAATACTTGATGGTGAACCCATGTGTTTGGCATTTACTGAAAATGTTAAAAACTTGAATAAGTACAGTGGAGTAATACCTAGTAAAGGCAGGATTATTGAAAGCAGACTGTAGGTGGCATAGTAAAATGTCTACATGATCTGTCTCTATTTAAACCAACAGTTTATTTGAAAGAAAGCATTAAAAATCCAAATGGAGTGCCACTGGAAATCACCTCTCCAAAGTCAGGTGAAGTACTGCAGGGCTAGAAACATTAAATTGAAATGAATAAATGACAGAAGAGGTGTTTATTGTATTCTGTATAGGAAAAATAACTAGATGTGGGAGGGTGTGTGTAGTATTACAGGACCATACTGTGTAATAGAGGGAGTGCTTATATATACAGAGGATGGTTTCGTTGTGGACATGTACAGAATGTAGTGGGGGTAAGATAGACTCACAGTGTAGTTGTAGAGAATGTAAGAGATGTCATAGGGATTGAAAGTACAGTAGTAGAAGATTTAAACACTAATTTATTTGATTTCCAGCAGAAGCACATATGCAACATGTAACATCTGCACCTCCTTCATCAGAGGTAGCCACTCCCTGCATCTGCAATGACAATGGACAATCGATACAAATGGGTGAGAAATCATGCCATTTTTTTTCTGCACCATTGACATGAAAAGATGTACTGATAAATAAAAGTGCTTTGACAAGTGCTTATTCTGCCTGTTGCAATTAGACATTACCAGAAGTTGTTATATCTTTGAATTGTAGCTAACTCCTTCACAAATACAACTCTCCCATATCCAATAACTTTGTTCTCGTTTGAATACCCCTGGTGTAAGAAAACTCATAGCAGTTGCTGTTGTTAGCAGAGCCCTGAATCCCAAACTGCTGCACATGAGCTTGTCACTGACAATAGTATTCCAAAAGCAGGAGAGGAAAGTCTCTTCTTCATCTGTTAGTAGCTCCTGCTTCACTTACCTCCTGGTGTTTGTGAAGAGCAGATGCACTTGGTGATGTACTCAGTATTGGCTCTTCTTGTATTCATTTGCAACTCTTTCCAATGTACCTAAGAGCAGAATATCAGATTAGGCCTTGTGGCCCTCCCCCAGTCTTTGCCATTTGGATGAATTTCTGTCCAGTTCAGCCACTGAATCCCAGGAAAGACAGTCCCCTGAGCGTGGCTGTTGGGTAGAGATAGTTAAATGCAAGGCTGAGAATGCAGGTGCTCTGTGATCAGGCCTCAGGCTAACACTTGGGTTTTGCCCTTGCAGGAGAAAATGTTTCTCTGCCAGTGAATGTATCAGGTCGTTGTGCTTACTCTGTCTGCAATAAATCGTGTCAAATTGAATTAATTTGGGCAGAGTGTAAAACTGGTCATACTGATACCCTCAAGGTCTGTGATCCATATTCTGAAACCTGTCCACCAACACCTGCTCCTGGTGTAACAAACCAAGTTCCTGCACCCACAAGGACTTCTGCGAGCGACTGTCTTGCACTCACTCCTCCCAGAAAGGTGAGAGACCCTGAAGAAGACGTGTTTCATCATTCCACCATTCAGGCATTGCCTGCAGCCGAGGTTTGGTGTTCTCCTCTGATGCTGGTATCCAGCACTACAGCTGACTGTAGGTGTGGCTTAAGGACATCATTTAGAAGTATGCCAGAAATCCCTCACTGAAAGAATAAGTTCTTCTGTTCACCTGAAACACCTAAATGATTGTATGTGAGCAGAGCTACATAAGCTGAACAAAGACTGGGAAGCCACATCTGGCAGTGTCCTACCATCAGAAATGATGAGGACCCTAATATATATATATATATATATATATATATATATATATATACACCAAAAAAGATATCAAAGCTCTCTGTATTTCTATATGGTTCATATTGCCTGGTTTCCAGAGCCAGAGTAGACACCAAATTTTGCCATGCTAGACAATTAACTGAATGGAATACAGTTGCTGTGTGTGATTTTAAAGATTTTGTGACATTACTTTGTTATTTGCCTCTCCTCTTTTTTTGTCAATTAATCCATAGTTTAATGAAACATGGAATTTTGGAAACTGCCATACTGCCACTTGCCTGGGAGAAGGAAACAATATTAAATTGTCTGTCATGACTTGCCCACCTCAGCAACAGAAACTCTGTGTCAATGGTTTCCCGTTCACAAAACACTCCGATGAAACTGGTTGCTGTGAAGTCTCTGAATGTCAGTGTAAGTGGCAGGAGAATTCTTGAAATTTATGTTATGTTCAGCTGGGCCTCAAAAAAAAAAAAGTCTATCTGGTCAACATCTATATTATGTTCCTATCAATTCAGCAGGATACAATGGAACAGAAATCCCTTCTGAAATCTTGGCTGTTAAAAGCAGATATCCTTGCTAGAATAGTTTTTCTTTATCAAACTGGGTATTTTGCCTCTGACTGGAAACTAGCAAAATGGTTTAAACCAGCTTGTACTTACAGGTGCCTCAGAAGCCAAACTTGAAACCTGTCATTCTGTCTTCTAGGTATTTGCAGTGGATGGGGAAATGAGCATTATGTGACTTTTGATGGAGCATATTACCATTTTAAAGAAAACTGCACCTATGTCCTTGTGAAGTCAATTCATCCTGACTCTCACAACTTCTGGATTAACGTAGACAACTACTACTGTGCTGCCACTGGTGGAGCAACTTGTTCAATGTCCCTCATAATTTTTTACTCCAACTCTATTGTTATTCTGACACAAGCAATGGAACATGGAAAAGAAATAAACTTGGTAAAGTATTGTATTTAAATGAATTCTCAAAATTATTTTGCTGTAGTTATGTTACTCTACTGCCAAATGTCCTGTCATGACAAAGGATTAAGCTTGTAAAATATGGAATGTAAGAAATGCAATTGCTTTGCTTCTTCTCTCCCTTTTTTGCTTTGTATCAATAAAATCTGTATATTCTAAAAATCTGGGAAATGATCACATAACTGAAAATTGTAGGCTTTATCCTGATATGACTATTCAAATATAAATTGCAACATATTTAAAAGGAATATTAGACAACTGCTTAAATGACTGTCTTTGACAGACATAATTTGGTGCACCTAGGGTCTGAATTTGTGTTGCTCTGCTTTCCAGTTGCACCAATCATGCACCTTACTCAATGAAGGAGTGTCCATAAAAACATTTTGTCTCTTTTCTTTTAGATTTTGTTTGATAATAAGAAAGTTGTTCCAGACATTTTTAAGAATGGTATCAGGATAACCAGTTCTGGCCTTTATGCCATAATTGAAATACCTGAATTAGAGGTTTACATCTCCTATAGTCGGCTTGCATTTTACATAAAGCTCCCCTTCAGCAAGTTTTATAACAATACCATGGGACTCTGTGGTGAGTGTCCTCATCAGCTGACAAAAATTATTGCTCTGAATTTTCCTCCTTATATCTCTCATTCCCTTGCAAAATCTCTAAATGCTTGCAACTTCACTATTTTTCGCAAATGTTAATACATTTATTTAATGGAAAGACAGTGTCAGGAAATGTAGTTTTAAGTAATATCTTTCATTCTGTTCAAATATAGTTTTAAATCATACCTTTTATTCTTTCCACATCCTCAGTCTGTTGGGGGGTGGATAGAATTTTTCTAGGCCCTTCCTTTTCATCATATCTACTTCATAAAGGAATGTAGGAAATGTGGAGAGTCCTGTACCATCTCAATTACTCTGGCCACCAGAAGAAATGTATGGACCAACACATCAATTCTGGTTTCCATGAGCAGCTGGCAAGCTGTTTCTTCGAGCCTTCGCTTCCTAGAAGCAGTTTGTGTGAATTTTTCCAGGACCCTACACATTGCTCTTTTCGCATAAGGAGGAGAACTTCCCCCCATATTTTCTCTAAAAGCAGCTTCATCAGCATCAACTGTCCTTGAACAGTCATTTTTATATTGCTACCAGGTACCTGCACCAACCAAAAATCTGATGATGCTATGAAGAGGAATGGTGAGGTTGTCAATTCCTTCAAAGAGATGGCATTAGATTGGAAAGCCCCATATCCTACCAACAGATACTGTAGCCCTGGTGTCTCACTACCATCGAAGATTGAGTATCATCAACACTGTGTGCCTTCTAATCTGTGTAAAATCATCTGGTAAGACAACTCCCAAAAGTATCAGAAAAATAAATACACAGGGTAATTTCGTTCTTCACTAAATGGAATGGGCGAACTGATTCTAGGATATGAAGGAAATACAAAGTCTTGCATACCTTGTGAAACTGAGCAGTGGACTGATGTTTCTGTTCTGGAGCTTGTCAGATACTTTTCAGCAGCATCAGCAAAATCAGTCCTCTCTTAAGAGTGCTGCTTGGTACTCCTTCTGCCTGTCAGTTCTGGAGAGACCAAGTGGGAACTAGGTATAATTCGGTATCTGAAAGCTCTGAATGATATGAAACACAGTCAGAATAGAATAAGTAAATATATGTGTCTGTTTTTAAAGTAATTTTGTAGTTTAAAGCAGGATTTTCAAACATGCTAGCATAAAAATGTCAGCATATAAACTTACAGCAATGAGCTGTGCAGGAGCCTTTGCAGATAGCAGTCCAAAAAAAATTATTGTTTCCTTTCAAAGCATTGTAAAGAATGGCAGGTAAAGCTCATTCTTTATTAAGCTGTGGGGGTGTATTACCTACGAGAACAATTTGTAGTTGTACCTTGAGGCTTTGCCTGGGGCAGGGGGGGATGCTTTGGCCGTGGGTTGAATTCTTCCTTGGAAGCAGCCCAAGGTTTTTCTCCTTGCTTTGTGAAGGACCCTGACGGAGTGCCACGGCGTGGTGCCGCCCCAGCCCTACTACGAGGCGTGTGTGGCCAGCGGGTGCTCGGAGGAGCCCCGCAGCAGCGAGTGCCAGAGCATGCAGACCTACGCGGCGCTCTGCGGGCTGCACGGGGTGTGCGCGGACTGGCGGAGCCTGGCGGGCGGCCGCTGCGGTGAGCCTGGGAGCGGGCAGCGAGCTCGGCGCGGAACGCACCCCCTGCGGCGGGGCAGGGCTGGTCTGCTCGGTCTCCCCTGCTGCTCCGGACCTGAGAGAAAGCAGGAACAAACCCAAGGGGTTGTTCCAGCCCAGACCTGCTGCAAAACAAGGGGGAACCAGGCCCGCGGCGTGTCCTGCGCAGCTCGGCCGAGGAGCGCTGTGCGCTCCCCGCGGCTTGGGCGCCGCCCGGCGCCGCTTCTCGCTGTGTGCTTTGTCCGGCTCGGGCCTCCCCCGAACCGGGGCGAGCTGCCGGTCCTGTCGCTTGTGCCCTGCTGGCCCCATGGCCCCGCTTGCTGAGCTGGCAGGGCCCCCGGTCGGGCTGTGCGAGGTTGCTGCGGAAGCTGGGCGCTTTGTCCCTTCGTGTCCCTGCAGCGGAGGGTGCACCTGGGTCTGGGCTTTTTAACTTGTGTGTTGCCATGCTCCACAGAGGCCAGCTGTCCTCGGGATCAGGTGTACAAGCCATGCGGGGAAGCAAAAAGAAACACTTGCTTCAGCAGGTGGGTCATTTCCTGTAAGGCGTTGTTCAAACCCATAATGTGAAGATTACCGGGGAAATTTGAAGTTCACATTCCCTTGGGATTTAGGTATCTTGATTGCCCTGGGCTACGTTTTTGCCTCTTGTTCATTCTCATTTATGTTCTGATTGTGCAGAGGAGTCGTTATGGATACCCTTCCTTCCCAAAATAGCACATCAGTGTTTGTTGAAGGATGCTACTGTCCTGATGGAAAAATTCTGCTGAATGATCATGATGGCATTTGTGTGTCTGTCTGTGGTAAGAAATGGTATAAATGGTGCTGTGGGAAGAGGGGGTAAGAGCCTGGCTAGAAGTGCATATTAAGGGGGTTATTTTGGGTACAGAGGAAAGGGGGAACACCTTGTTACTGACCCTTTCTGGTGAAGCTGGAAGCATTCCAGATGGAGAGTTTCTGCCTGCTCTTATATGCAAAAGAAGCAACTTTCGAAAGAACAAAGAATAGCATGTTTAAGATGTGACTGTGACTTTGCACTCTGAATTTCTCTTTCCCTTAGTGGATGTTTCTCAGATTTCAATACCTTCCTTC